ATACTGATTTGTCATGAAATGGTGTAAATGCTGCATCTCCTCTGTTGGATTGCAATTTTGTTGTATTCCTCAAATCACCCAACATGGTGCTAAGCAAATAATGAGAATAGAGTGCTCACACATGCCTGGCACTGTTAAACACCTTATAGACATCATAACAACTCTGCGCAGCACATACTTCTTGAATGCATGTGCTGGTTCATGTGGAAAAAAGCAGTTGCTGCCACTAAGCCCCATTTCTCTCTGCTATGGGAACCGTTGCAGCAGAAAACTTAAAGTCACTGCTGCTGGTGGGGCTGTGCAGCCACGGGCAAGGTAGCAGCCATGTTAACAGCAGTTAACACTCAAACATATACTGGGATATGTGGGCTCTTGGATTACATCCTGGTTCTCTGTTCACCAACTGAGCAATCTTGGAAAGTGAATCAGCCTGTTTGTGCTTATGTTCTTCATCTAAGAGATGATAATTCGTACCTTAAAAGGTATCATACAAAAATTAGCCAGGCACATGCCTGTAGTCGCAGCTACTTGGGAGGCTGAGGCAGGAGAATCACTTGAACCCGGGAGACAGAGGTTGCAGTGAGTCGAGATTGCACCATTGCACTCCAGCCTGGGTGACAGAGCAAGACCCTGTCTCAAAAAAAAAAAAAGGTATCAACCCCTAACAGGCTGGTAAAATGAGACAGTATGCAAAGTATCTAGGATGGCAAGGTAGATACAGCAAGGGCTCAATAAATAGTACTTATCATTATTGGGATTATTGTATATAAGGCATAGTGCAAGGTACTGTGAAATATAAAGACCGGAAGTAAACATATTAGGGTGGTGGGTCTTCCCCCTCAACCCTGCAGACAGCGTTCTGAATCCACTTGTTCAGTTAAGGGCCCCTTTAGCTCTAGCCTGTGATTCTGTACTTCCAAGTTGGCACTTAGAAGCCAACAACCATATGTCCTCACCACATTGCATCAGTTCGGGTCAGGTGGTTTCTTAGTTTAGAGTTAATAAAGCCAAGATATGAGAGACTGACACCCTTAAAAGGAACCACAGGTAGGGAATGGCCCACCCAGGCAACCTTAGTTTCTAAACTTAGGACTTGCTGTTGCCGTGTGTATTTTTGTTGGAAGAAGACCTCTAATTCAGCCTGAAGCTGGTATCATGAATCATTCAAAGGCGTGGTGTGATTTTGACTAGAAGCTGGACCAGATGCTCTGTGCAGGTTTGGAAGCAGTTACACTTTTGTGGTTTGACTAACCTTTTTTATGAGTGTGTTACTAAAGAAACGTGAGCTGTTGGCTTTTCAATTACTGTAGTTTACCCTTTCTGAGTTTCATACACATTGAGTCATCGTGTCTACAGGTGACTGATAATCATCTGCACTGCTCAAGTTACCGTAACTCGGAGACGAGGGGATCTGATGATTGCAAGTTGCATGCACGTGAACATCTGAGGCTGCCCCGTCTCCTTAACAATGAACAATGGTCTGTGTTAACTACAGAATTTAGTCACGTATTTCCACTCATCCAGGGGTTTATTTTCCTCTTAATGTTTTGCCTTTTACAATTTTAGCACTCAGCTGTTTTCGGACATATGCTGCAGGTGGTATAGATTATGAAATTGCAGGCCTCGTTAAATAAAGCAAACCCTTGGGAGAAAGGATAAAATCAGAGTTTGCGATAGGCCTACCCCACCCAGAAACCTTCTGGAGCCTGTTAGGTGAAAAGAGAAGAAGTTTCTCAAGGACCCCTGGTATTTAGGGAGTTGAATAGAGACGGCCACACTGGAAAATAACCAATAACCTTAAAAAGGCCAAGAAACCGAAGTTCATCATTTCTGTGTCACATTCTAGGGAAGGAATGTCTGTGACCTTAGCTGGCTTTCATGTTCTCAGTCTTCCAGATGGCCTTGACCAAAGATATATCCAATCTGGAAACTGAAAATAAAAACCACTGATTGCTTTGGCCAAGGTCTACTCTGCTGTTGCTTCTCATTGAGTTTCCAAGACAGGGTGTTTTTCTTTGCATAATTTTTTTTGCTCTCAGGTATTTATCTGGAAACTATCAGGTTGGCCTTAAGGTCAGCTGCTTTCGGGGATGCAAAGACAAATTCATCTCATGGGAATAGATCTTTTAGCTGGTTCTTTTGGCTCCAATTTCTCACTGTTCTGGTCCGTCTTACACATTGCTGTTACGTTAACCACAGCCTGCCTTTCTCAAGGGCAGGTAGCCTTGGCTTTTTGTTCAGATTCACACCCTGCAGTGGGCCATTCAGAATGCCCACCATTCGGTCTTACCGTGCATTATCTTTTTTCAGTGTTTCCCCATTTTCAGTGTTTCCCCAAATGTAGGATGCAAATTGCCAGCAGGCACACGGGGCGCTTAAAACCTGGGTCCACACAGCAGGACAATTATTTTCTTTCCAGTTGTCTTTCAGTCTCACAGTATACTAAGGAGAAAAATTTAGACTTAATTTGATGCCAGTTGTCTTTAACACTAATCTCACACTTGGTAATCTCTGTTTCTAACAAAGGGGGAAGGGATCTTAGTCTCCAAGTACTCACAGTAGTATCCGATCAAAATTTAATGAAATGCTGTCTTTCATTGTCTTCATTTTTCATAGTTATCTTCTACTTGTGGAAAGTGATTCTGGTTTTCCGTTTATGTTAGTGATATAAAGTTTCCTTAAAAACCACATTTATTTTAGAAAAAAAAAAAGAAAGAAAATGTGAGCCAAATCAAACAAAGAAAAAAACCCAGGCATTTACCAAGTGTTTTCCATGTGGCAGACCCTGTTCTAAGTGCTTTCCAGTGACCCTGTGAGGTACATACGATTATCTTCACTTTACATGAGGACATGGAACACAGACAGGTTAAGTGATTTGCCCAGGGTCACACAACTGGTGACCAATGGAGCCAGCATCAAACCCAGCCCATCTGACAGCAGAGTTTGTTCTCTCAACCACCACACTGCCCTGGTGTGTGGATATTGCAGAATGTGAAGGAAGAGCGAAGCCTGAGAAATACTGTACTTCATACTTCTTGATCGCGTTTCAGCCAGACTCGCTTACTGCACGTCCTGTGTAGTCCCACCTCTCTGCCTTCATTCCCGCACTCCCCCTCAACTAGGATGCCCTCTCCCCCTTCTCTGAAAATCTAAATTCTTCCAGTTCATCAAGACCCTTCTCAAAATTTAGATTTTCCAAGAATGTTTTCCCTTCCCCAAGTACTTCTGAAGTTTCTGCATTCCCTTAATGCCTAAATACAATTTATACCAAATTGTCTTGCCTGTGCCTGTATGTTACCTTATTATTCTTTTTACAGAACACATGTTACTTCCCTGCCTAAATGCCTCAAATGTGAACATTTAGAATAAAAAGACCTCCATAGAGCAAAGCAGTCCTTTTACAACTTTTTTTTTTTTTTTTTTTTTTTGAGACAAGATCTCACCCTGCCACCCAGGCTGGAGAGCAATGGCATGATCTCGGCTCATTGCAACCTCCACCTCCCAGGCTCAGGTGATCCTCCCACCTCAGCCTCCTGAGTAGCTGGGACTACAGGTGCTTGGCTAATTTTTGTACTTTTTTGTAGAGACGGGGTTTCTCCATGTTGCCCGGGCTGGTCTCAAACTCCTGGGCTCAAGTCATCCTCCCTCCCTGGCCTCCCAAAGTACTAGGATTACAGGCCTGAGCCACCGCACCCGGCCAACTTTTAACTTATATTTTTTCTCCAGTCCCATATGTATAGGTCTTATCTTTTATCCACTAGGTTAGAGATACCTCAAGAATAGGAACTGGTTCTTCCAATCCTTTTGTTTTCTCCTGTTTTTTTTTTTCTTCTTTTTTTATTCTTCTTCGTCTTTATTTTCATTGCTGAATCCTTTACCATATGGCAGTGACACATTTTGGAATCTCAACATGCCTAGGAAACATTACAGAAGGATATGGTTTAGCAAATCTCTCCAGAATCCAAGCTAACAGAATGGAGAGGCTCAACAGTGACCTCAGCCTCACCTCCAGCACTCGGCTCTCCTTCCTTGCTTTCTGTCCCCTCTCCCCACCACTTACCACTGAGCACATCTGCCCTCACTGCAGCCCCCATCCCTGCCTTCCCTGTGACCAGAGAGCCTCTGTTTTCTAACACACAACACCCACACACCCCAAAGGTGGCTAAACTCTGTTTTCAAAACTTCTCAGCAGTTTGACATGAGAAATAGGAGAGGGTGACCACAAGTATATTTTTTCAGTTAAGTGTGAGATAGGCCCTAATGATCACATGTGTATCAGAGATATACTTGCCAAGCAAAGGAAGAGAAACACACTTTAGGAAAGGGACAAAGACCATGATCTCTTCTCAAGAAAACTTTTCTCAAACTTTCTACATTTGAAGCTCTTTCACTTCAGTCTCAGTCAGCCAGGACTGGTGAGTTTGGGGAGTAGCCAGCTGGAGTCTGGGGAGCTATTTTCTCTATCTCTGTAGCTATTTAAAAAGCTGCCGAGGTGAGGGACCGAGTGTCCCCACTCTTTGCAGCACTTCCGTCCCCCTGGCTACCTAATATTCCTGGCAGAAAATAACAAGCAAAAGCAAAATAAGAGTTGGGAGTTGACTGTGTCTTAAGAGATCGTGAACTATAGCAGAAGCCCCAGGCTCCCATGGGCTGGTAGCTCCCTTGTCCCTCTAGCCCCATCCTAGCGTCCTGCTTCTTTCCCTCCTTTCTTGAGGGCTCCCCTCTGACATGCACAGTGGGCATACCTTACCATGTGGCCTTCACTGAACCACATCTCTGCCCCTCCCTTCTGCCTGCTGGCTTTATTTTAACCATCCAAACATGTTGCTGCCAACCAGTGTCCCCTGAGATAGCACAATGGGAAACCATTCTGCCAGACTTGGTCTTCTTGAGCAGCAGGCAGCTTAACTTTTCTCCCTTTCTGAGGTCTCTAGAAAATATTTACAAACTCTCTGCCTTGACAGTGTTCCCTTTGTAACCCTTTCTGTCACTTGTTCCAGGTGAGAAGCGCCACTGCTTTGATGTCAACTATAATTCGAGTTACATGTATGAGAAAGAGAGTGAGCTCATACAGACCCGCATGATGGACCAAGCCATCAATAATGCCATCAGCTATCTCGGCGCTGAAGCCCTGCGCCCCTTGGTCCAGACACCGCCCGCTCCCACCTCGGAGATGGTTCCAGTTATCAGCAGCATGTATCCCATAGCCCTCACCCGGGCTGAGATGCCAAACGGTGCCCCTCAGGAGCTGGAAAAGAAAAGCATCCACCTTCCAGAGAAGAGCGTGCCTTCTGAGAGAGGCCTCTCTCCCAACAATAGTGGCCACGACTCTACGGACACTGACAGCAACCATGAAGAACGCCAGAATCACATATACCAGCAAAATCACATGGTCCTGCCTCGGGCCCGCAATGGGATGCCACTTCTGAAGGAGGTTCCCCGCTCTTACGAACTCCTCAAGCCCCCGCCCGTCTGCCCAAGAGACTCCATCAAAGTGATCAACAAGGAAGGGGAGGTGATGGATGTGTATCGGTGTGACCACTGCCGTGTCCTCTTCCTGGACTATGTGATGTTCACAATTCACATGGGCTGCCACGGCTTCCGTGACCCTTTCGAGTGTAATATGTGTGGATATCGAAGCCATGATCGGTATGAGTTCTCGTCTCACATAGCCAGAGGAGAACACAGAGCCCTGCTGAAGTGATTATCTGGTCTCAGGGATTGCCCCTAAGTATTCAGCATCGTTTCTAAAAACCAATGACCTCGCCTAACAGATTGCTCTCAAAACATACTCAGTTCCAAACTTGTTTTCATACCATTTTTAGCTGTGTTCACACGGGTAGCCAGAGAAACACTGTCTTCCTTCAGAAATTATTCGCAGATCTAGCATATTATTACTTTTGTGAAACCTTTGTTTTCCCATCAAGGACTTGAATTTTATGGAATTTAAAAGCCAAAAAGGTATTTGGTAATCATTATCTTCTACAGCAATGGAATGAGTGGTCCTGGAGATGTGCTACATGAGACATTCTTTCTGAGATATATCAACCATATGTGGAAAAGCCTTTCGGTCATACGTGCAAATCCACAAAGAGGAAGAGCTGACCAGCTGACCTTGCTGGGAAGCTTCACCCTTCTGCACTTCACAGGCTGAAGGGTTATGATCTAATCTCCCTAATCCAAATGACAGTCTAAGAGTAAGTAAAAGAACAGCCATAAAATAAGTATCTGTTAGGAGTAACTGAAGACCCCATTCTCCAAGCATCAGATCCATTTCCTATCACAACATTGTTTTAAAATGTCATCTGATGGCACTTCTGCTTCTATCCTTTACCCTCCCATATCCAGTGAAAAGTTGAGCTGCTTTGGGCCAAACCAATTGTCTATAGGAGAAAATCTATGCCAGAAGAACTGATGGTTTTAAATATAGACCATCACCGAAACTCCAGAAATTTGTCCACTGTGGATGATGACATCGCTTTCCTTTGGTCAAGGTTGGCAGAGCAAGGTTATAAAGGGGGAAATGGTTTGGCAGCACCAACAGAAAACAACCAACCAAAAAACAGCTACCTAAAACTTCTTCAAAGAGTTCATGGAGAATTGGTGATGCAGACCCAAAACAAATTTGCCAATGATTTTTTTCCACACACACACAAAAAAAATCCAAAAAGTATGGCTTAGCCTCCCCCTCCCCACAGGAGAGGAATTGGAGATAGATGCCACGTGTGTTTAGATTGGAGCTGAACTCCGAGATGGGGTGAGGAGGTATACCTCTATTGGCATCACCAATTCTCCATGAACTCCATGATCATCTCCTTGATCAGACAGGCTTCGGCCCTTTTTTTCCCATTTATAATGGAATTGCTGTATTCCATGAAAATTCCTGAAAGTCTGATCACGGTTCTGCAGATGTATAAGTCATCCTTGTCACTCATAATGTGTACATACTATCAGGAGGAGTGCTGTTATCATTGTAAAATTAGCATTGGAATAGGAGGTCACAAAATCTGTTTGCTAATTAGCTATGTGAGTTTGGGTAAATCATTTAACTTTTTTTTTTTTTTTTTTTTTTTTTTTTTTTTGAGACAGGATCTCACTCTGTTACCCAGGCTGGAGTGCAGTGGTGCAATCATGGCTCACTGCAGCCTCAACCTCCCCAGGCTCAGGTGATCCTCCCACCTCAGCCTCCTGAGTACTGGGAAAACAGGTGCACACCACCATGTCTGGCTAAATGTTGTTCTTTTTGTAGAGACAGGATCTCACTATGTTGCCCATGCTGGTCTTGAACTCCTGGGCTCAAGCAATCAGCCCACCTCAGCCTCCTAAAGTGCTGGGATTACAGGTGTGAACCACCACACCCGTCCTCATTTAACTCTTAAAACTCAGTTTCTGGCTGGGCTCGGTGGCTCACACCTGTAATCCCAACACTTTGGGAGACCGAGGCAGGCGCATCATTTGAGGTCAGGAGTTCGAGAGCAGCCTGGCCCACGTGGTGAAACCCTGCCTCTACTAAAAATACAAAAATTAGCTGGGCAGTAATAGCACATGCCTGTAACCCCAGCTACTCGGGAGGCTGACGCAGGATAATCTCTTGAGCCTGGGAGGCGGAGGTTGCGGTGAGCAGAGATCGCACAACTGCACTCCAGCCTGGGCAACACAGTGAGACCATGTCTCAAACAAAACAAAACAAAACAAAACAAAACAGAGACCAAAAAAACCTCAGTTTCTTCATCCATAAAATAGGAATTGGACTTAAACGTTCTCTTAGGTCCCTTCTAGCTTTAATTCTGATGTGATTATGCAGTAACCACAAGTTATTTTTTAAACCTCCTAATGTATGGATATTAAGCAGAGGAGTATTTATATGAATACACGTTTCACATTCCTTTGGTATGAAAATGGTGTGTTAAGTTTTTCCTTTAACTACTGAGTTGTGAATGTGAAGAAGGTGGTGGAGAGGAACAAAAAACAGAAAGGTATTTTGATCTTGCCCCAAAGCGTACACACAAATTGGCACATGCAGCTGTTTGCCAAAGCCTTTTTTTTTTTTTTTTTTCCTTTTTAAGAAATTATGTTAGAGAAAATAAATTCTGCTTCCAGGGACAACTTCATGGAGCCTATTTACAAATTAAGAGTCAGCTTTGTGAACATTTCTACCAGAGCCAAGAATCCCAAATTCCTGGTAGATTAGCGTTTTATTTCTAAAGGGCTTATGCATTCGGCTCCAACTCAACTCATCTATGTGCTGCCAGTAATTAAAATGTTCCACCTCAGACTGCACAAATGGCTTATCCTTCTTTGTGGCATGGCGTCTGTCTCAGGAAAAAAGGTTTTATGAAATTCCATGGCAACAGTCCCAACATGTTTGAGACTTCAGCTAAAGGAATGGATGTATTTTGGTGTGTAGTCTTCAGTATATCACCGTATTTCCGTAATACTAGACTCCAAGCTATGCCAGATTGCTTATTCCCTTTGTGAAAGAGAAGTTGCTCATTATGTTCTTGAAATAGCACACATCGTGTTGGTTCTTCAAGGGACAAGAGAAAGAGAATTTGGAAGCAGGGATTAGTAGAAGAGAAAACAAGGGAAAGGAAGCTTTTCCACTAGATTACTGTTCAAGTCTTTGCAGAGGAGACCAACTTTTTTTGTTTTGTTTTGAGACAGAGTCTCACTCTTATCCAGGCTGGAGTGCAGTGACACCATCTCGGCTCACTGCAACCTCTGCCTCCCAGGTTCAAGCAATTCTCCTGCCTCAGCATCCCAAGTAGCTAGGATTACAGGTGCCCACCACCACGTCCGGCTAATTTTTGTATTTTTAGTAGAGACGGAGTTTCACCATGTTGGCCAGGCCAGTCTCGAACTCCTGACCTCAGGTGATCTGCTCGCCTCGGCCTCCCAAAGTGCTGGGATTACAGGCGTGAGCCATTGTGCCCAGCCTGAGACCACCTTTTGCATCTCAAGATTGTGAAACCGAGGCCCATTCCACCAGCCTGGGGACTCTTTTTATAGATATGATCCTCCTTTTTCCTGTGACTAATTAATTTGCTGCATGATTTCTGTTCTTCTGAGTTTAGTTTTCTGAGTAAGGTGACCACTCACAAAGGCACTTTTTTTGTGGCATTCTGAGCCTAGATTGGGGCCCATCAATTCCAGAAAAAAATCTATGTGTGGAAACTCTGCATCCTTAAGCCTTGAAGTTGAACCAGATATGCAGTGGTTATCATCACACAGATAAACGCTTCCTTCTGTACATACCCCTTATGCTGTACTAATTAACCAACCCCTTGCCGGGGCTGGGGGAGTGAGGGTGAAGGAGAATCTTAGCAGAAGGGCAGAGTCAGGAATTGCATCTGCCACTGCTGGGCACTGAAGCCCTGGACCAGCTTCAGGCAGTACCTGTACTTTCTCATGCAGACTCCCGCTGAACACAAGCCTTGTAGACCCCTCTCCTTCATTTCCCACCAGCCTCTTATCAGGCAGGCCTTCCACCATACACCCAGGAGGCCATGGTCTGAGGAACAACCAAACCCATGCAAAGGGCCAGGTGTGGTGGCTCACGCCTGTTAATCCCAGCACTTTGGGAGGCTGAGGCAGGCAGATCACCTGAGGTTGAGAGTTCGAGACCAGCCTTACCAACATGGAGAAACCCCATCTCTACTAAAAATACAAAATTAGCCAGGTGTGGTGGCGCATGCCTGTAATCCTAGCTACTCGGGAGGTTGAGGCAGGAGAATCACTTGAACTGGGGAGGTGGAGGTTGCAGTGAGTCAAGATGGCACCACTGCACTCCAGCCTGGGCAACAAGAGTGAAACTCTGTCTAAAACAAAAACAAACAAACAAACAAAAACCCATGCAAACTTTCCTTGCAGCCAACGTGACAGAACTGGGCTGACGGTGGAAAAGAAACAGAACCAGTGCTCCAAGAGTTTTTAAATCTATTTTTATATTTTGTGTATATATATATTCTTAGAGGACCAGGGTCTCACTATGTTGCCTAGGCCAGACTCAAACTCCTGTGCTCAAGCAATCCTCCTGCCTCAGCCTCCCAAGTAGCTGGGATTACAGGCATGCACAAACAGTGCCCAGCTCTCCAAATGTTTTCTGCCACTAGCTGAAGTGTTGCATCGGTACTTCCTACGGAGAGACAACTAAATAGAAATGTCTCTCCCGTGAGTCCCCACCACGACCACCAGAAAAAAAAAAAAAAATGAACTCATCAGTCTTTAGTTTCCTCAAGTTATTCTCCCAAAAAGACATTCGCCCTGGCACAGATAAGCCAGCTAATCTTTTTTTTTTTTTTTTGAGACAGAGTCTCGCTCTGTCATCCAGGCTGGAGTGCAGTGGCGCGATCTCGGCTCACTGCAAGCTCCGCCTCCCGGGTTCACGCCATTCTCCTGCCTCAGCCTCCCGAGTAGCTGGGACTACAGGCACCCGCCACCACGCCCAGCTAATTTTTTTGTATATTTAGTAGAGACGGGGTTTCACCGTGTTAGCCAGATGGTCTCGATCTCCTGACTTTGTGATCCACCCGTCTCGGCCTCCCACAGTGCTGGGATTACAGGCGGGAGCCCCCGCGCCCAGCCTAGCCAGCTAATCTTATGCTTTGTGACCCATTCTGAGCTGTTCCTGACACAGCTTCTGACTTTGTCAGTGACCAAATTTCTCACCTTTTAAATGCAGTGCTTAACATTTTGTTAGGCCCATACTCAAAATGGTCCAGATATAAAATGGCCTCAGATTTTGACCTCCTAGGCTCAAACAATCCTCCCACCTCAGCCTCCCAAGTAGCTGGGACTATAGGCACACCACCATGCACAGCTAATTTTTTTGTGTTTTTTTTTGTTTTTTTTTTTTTTTTTGCAGAGATGGCTTTCGCCATACTGCCCAGGCTAGTCTCAAAATCCTGGGCTCAAGCAATCTGCCCACCTCAGCCTCCCAAAGTACTGGGATTACAGGCAAGAGCCACTGCGCCCAGCCACAACCTCAGATTTCTTCGGCAAACAGAAATGTTTAAAAACACAAAACCTTGCTCAATTGAAACACTGTGTCACTATCAAATCTCATATCCACATAAAGTTTTTCTTTTTGGCTTTGTTTTGTGGGAAACAGATAGAACATAAAGTTTTTCCAGGTAGCATCTGTATCACTAGTATTCTCCTATTTCCTGCCCCACCCCCACCTCCCCAACCCTTACTGAACGTGAGGTTTAGAATGTTTTAAGGAGGGCCGGGTGCGGTGGCTCACGCCTGTAATCCCAGCACTTTGGGAGGCCAAAGCAGGTGGATCACCTGAGTTTGGGAGTTCGAGACCAGCCTGACCAACATGGAGAAACCCCGTCTCTACTAAAAAATACAAAATTAGCCGGGCGTGGTGGTGCATGCCTGTAATCCCAGCTACTTAGGAGGCTGAGGCAGGAGAATCACTTGAACCCGGGAGGCAGAGGTTGTGGTGAGCCGAGATTGCGCCATTGCACTCCAGCCTGGGTGACAGAGCGAGACTCCATCTCAGAAAAAAAATACAAAAATTAGCTGGGTGTGGTGGTGCACACCTGTAATCCCAGCTACTCGGGAGGCTGAGGCAGGAGAATTGCTTGAACCTGGGAGGCACAGGTTGCAGTGAGACGAGATTGCACCATTGCACTCCAGCCTGGACAACAGAGTGAGACTCCATCTCAAAAAAAAAAAAAAAAAAAAAAGCAGTACTGTTACATATAATCCCAAGTGATAAGACCACAATGGAAATGTTTCTTTTAAGCCCTCACTTTAAAGTGTACCCCACTGAGAGGAGGTATGTTGGACTCTAGCAGAGGTTTGGAAACTCTGGGACACTCAAGATTTGTGAAAGAGCTTGACTATCTGAGGACTCAAAGACTCAGCTTTGGGACTTGTGAGCTCAAGAAAAGAAAAAGGAGCGGTGAAACTTTGTCCTAAAAGTTAGCACCAGGAACAGAAGAAAAAAAAAGCGATATATAGCGATACCTCATCTTTTAGAGAATTGGAAGCTATTTTTGTGTTCACACAGAAAGTATGTTCAAAAAACCTCTATATCCAGAGTTCAGACAAGGAGAATGATTTG